ACGTCATTCGAAATAAACCATGGGGCGTCTGCGCAGATACGTTATATTTTTGATTGAAAAATCTGAAACATATCTAGAAGAATATCAGTATCTCAAGCGAAGAAATCATAAATTCAGTAAACTAACTGAAAAAAAGGTACCACAGCAAACCAAATGCTGTGAAATTTTACGTAAGAAAAATATATAGAATAGGCAAAGTTGATGGTAGCATATCTTACAAAGGAGTTAAACACTTAAACCTTAAAAAGACGATATATATGTTATGAAGTTTTTTTCGTTGTTTTATAGACCACTGCCTTATTTTAATATAATGCATATAGTCTGTAATACTTACACAGACGATATCGAACAGTCGCTTGAGAAACGTTGAACTTAGATTTTATTAGATACATTTTTACTTAGCTTAAAGTTTAAATTTTACATATAAAGAATATTATAATTTACTGTAATCTAATTTATTATTATGTTATTTCTTATTATTTTGATTATTATTATCTCTGATTATTATTATCTTATTATCAAAGAATTGTAGTATCTTAAATTTTCACACGTCCTTAGCTTCATTCCACAGAGCCACATCTAATAGGTTTATATGCTTACTTAATCTTTTAATTGAATAATACAATATCCAAACATTTCTTTATTTAGAAATATCTAAATTTATATGGATACAATCGTAAGCTAGAAATCAGAATACTTGTGCAATTATTCTAAACATATTGGATTAAAATCGTGGTAGTATTTTTGTCTAAGCTGCATTTGTTTTTGTTTTTAGCTACACTTCACAACTGTCTTTCATAACTTCAAATTGATGTTAAAATAACTTTATTACTCAGATTAAATTCAGGTTTTCTATCCAGCATACCGAAAGTGACACAGGTGACTTCTTTCGATATAGATTAAGAGTAACAAAGGTATTAGACGGACTTCGCTCCCTCCTAAACGTAAGCCTATACGTCCTATATCCAAACATATATCCCTATATCCCAACGTATAGCTTCAATTTGTACCAGCGGCATTCCAATATAGGCATTATACTAATACATATGTTAAGAACATCTTGTTGTTAATCCTTAACGGCAGGTAATCATGTTAATGGCCTATGGGGTCTGCCTATAAGATAATGTTATGTTAGCATAGTAATTATTATTGAGAATAAAGCACAAAGAACTAATTACATTTTCTGTTCTCTTTTAAATATGTAAACCCTGTTAGACATCTAATATGTCATAGGTATTCTTCGCGTCAATACACTATTACATTTCGACTGATTAGAAATGTTGTACTATCCTCATGAAAACTTTACTGTTTAAATCATATAAAGAGTAAAACTATTTGTGTTAAGGGTGTTGAAAGCTTTGGTAAAGCCAAGTCATTTTTGTGTGTATTACACACAATAATGCACACAAAAATATAAGTGCTTCGAAATTAATATTTCTCTATGATGCTATTAAACAATACTGCAACAAATAAATTTAAAATAATACCATTTAATGGCTAAGATATTTGCTTAAATAAAAACTTGTAAACATCTAAAAGAAAACAAGAGAAAATTATTTTAAAAAATGCCAAAAATGTTACTCATACACCACGTTGCTCATTTACCCACAAACGTTTGTTGAACTGCAGTTACTGGCACTTGGCCAAAATAATTCAAATACGTCAAATAATCAAGAAAAAGTAATAAATAAAAACGCTTTTATGCTCAAATTTCGATGACGGTGCTTGGTAAAACCATTTAAAAGTTTACTATGGTTCATAGTGGTTGCGGACAAAGCAGTTCACTTGCTTTACCGACTTGACCTATTTAATTACCTGTCATTACCTAAACATTTGTTCTTGTAATTTTGCATAATTTCTTTGGTGAAAGAAAATTAAAAGCAATAAAAACATTATCAAAACGTATTCCGAAGTACCTTTCATGTCAGCTTGACATACTGTTTACCGGTAAAACAATACTCGTACAATAGCAAAAGCGACAACAATAGCAATAACAATAATTGTATTAATATAAACAATATAGCAACAAATTGTTGTCAATTTTTTATCAAAATTTGACACCTGCGTGGCACAGTTAATTATGCTGAGTTGTTTGTTTTATGGTTTGATTAATTGAGTTACATTTTTTCTTCATTGTTTATATTTAAACGTACTTAACCAAAATTAATTTGCGAATTAATTATATTTAACAAAAAAAAAACGGTCATAATGGTCTTGCAGACATTTAGACACTTAACATTGAAAAAGTGGGTGGTTATTGGTATAATAGATTATATAGATTTTTGAAGGAAACATATTTCTGGAATACTAAATATATTTCTGGAATAAATAGAAATACTATTTGTTTTCCTTTTAAGTTGAGAATAATAGAATAGTACTTACTTTATTAAACCGAAACACACCATCACTGATGCGACACTGATGATCTTAATAACTCCAAATGCAAATCAGACAAAGCTAGATTGATGGTTATTTATCTCACCAGTTCTGAGTTATCTCAAAAAAGAGTCTATTTAAGGTAAAAGAATGTTAGGAGGAGTATGAAACTTCAGTCACATTCCTTATCAGCGTCAAGCTTTGATTTAAATTAGGCGGAGAATACTTGTTCCGCAGATCTTTTATTAGAATATACTAATTCTAACCAATATTTGAATGATTGTATATATTCTCTTTGGTTAGGGTCATATGTTAGCACAAATAAATCTACTATAGTCGCAGCCCTCTGCATCACTGAGAGCCCTCAACACTTATTTTCTATTTTATTGTATTCTAGAGTGTATACTATGTGACTGCTAGACAAATAGGTTTTCGCTAATTATATTATTTTTTGAGTTTTTTCAAGTTTATTTTATAACAAGTCATGTTTTCGATTTGTAAATCGGAAATTAGCCCTTACTTACGGTATGAAAGTCTGGATGATAATAACAGCCTGGGAAGTTCAACACATATGGATCTTTTAAGATAAAATATGCTGACCAATTAAATATCCAAAACTTATCGGTTTTGGAATGACTATAAATTTCAAGGCGTTTGCAATAAACATGAAGTGAATGTTGGGTGAGACAAAAAAAATACCAAATAAAAGGCAATATAGTTATGATACAACTATGAACTTCGGAACATTTGCAATGTTGTATCAATAGAAGAATACTGAGAATTATCATCTAAATGACAATTATACTCCACAGATGGACATAGAAATATATGAACAAGTAAAGTAAATATCACTTTAAACTATAATACCATTTGGTATGAAAAAATCACTATGGTTTGTGTGACTAGGTTCATAATGTGGTGAAGGTAAATAATTGTTTTACCTCTAGTCATGCTAGATTCAAACAATACTTCCAACAACTAGAGCCCCATCATATCAAATATAATATTTAAATACAGATTGCTTCTTCTTATATCAATATGACTATCCACTAATAATTCATTTTGTATTCCTCAAATCTTAATGAACTAAACATATTGTTTATTAATTTGTAGTGTTTGTTTACGTATTCATTAAGGAAAAAATGTTTGTTGCTATACACAAAATAAAAAATTTAATTGTTGAAAAACTGCATTGATATAATTTCTATATAACGTTTCATGTGATATAATTGCATTCGAGAATAAATAAGATTATATTTTTTAATTAAATATAATTGATTGCTGATACCTGAATTAAATGAAGGAAATAATAAGTAATCAAGATTAAATCAAAGATTTGCGATTTTAATCCATTTGTTATTTTTTTGCTTCAATAAAGAAAAGTTCTTGAATACTTGCCAGCATTATTATAAACTATTGTGATTAAAACTCTAGAACATATACATATATACTAATTCATTAAAGAATATAATATGACAAAACCATACCATTGTAATTAAAGGGTCTAGTACATATAAAACCAACTAATATGTAAGTAATTAGAACGAAATTGACATAATATATATAAAAAATATATATATTAAAACATAGATATATCTCAAGAATAAACAAAATATATAGACTTTAACATACTAGAAATTTACTAGAATTCTTAGAAATTGTTAGGATGTTAATTAGAACGAAATCGACATAATAAATATAAAAAATATATATATTAAAACATAGATATATCTCAAGAATAAACAAAATATATAGACTTTACTAGAAATTGACTAGAATTCTTAGAACTTGCTAGGATGTTAATTAGAACGAAATCGACATAATAAATATAAAAAATATATATATTAAAACATAGATATATCTCAAGAATAAACAAAATATATAGACTTTATTAGAAATTTACTAGAATTCTTAGAAATTGTTAGGATGTTAACCTCTCAGTTACATATACAATATATATGTATATATATAATCTTTAAAGTTCTTACATCGTCTTGCAACATCTTCCTACTATCTTTAGAAGAAGTTATAAATATCATTTGTATTATTAGTTTATCGTATCTAATAAGGTTTCAACTTGTTAGAATTTATTTCTAAAACTTTATCGGTACTTTTCAAAGTCTAAAGATATCAAAAAAAAAAAAAACAAAAACTTGCATTTTTGAGAACCAAAACAAATTAAAATAATAATAATAATATTTAAATGAAATAAAAATCATATATAAAAAGTTTTCCATCAATCAAACAGAAAACAAAATAAAGTGTGGAAAAGGCTTTTATCATATTAAAGTGGGTGTCGTCAGGTGGGCGGTGGGTCAACCGAACTGTGAACGCTCTTTCAATAAAATAAAATTTTTTGTGGCTCAGTAAACAAAAACTTCGTCGGTTAGCGGGATGTAAGTCGATTCGTTGCGAAACGCATAAATTATAACTTTTTGTGTATAATTAAAATAAAATCCTCAAATTTAAAATACTTCATTTTTTATAGTCTTTCGTTTGTGTGAACCGAATAAAATTCTACGAAATCAAAAGAAACATGTAAAATGCAAAATTGATTTACGGAAAAAAATAAAAAAATACCTTAAACAATTTTATTAAAATTAAAGGAAAAAAATAAACAAAATCCGAAAATGTTAGGCAAAACAACTAAACTGGAAATTTTCTCAATTTTATTTTTCCTGTTGTAACCGCCGGATATACTCGTAAACAATGAAATATAATCCATCTTTGTGCACGAATTTTACAAAATTTATTTCAAAAAGTCAATAAGAAATTTAGTGTTTGCATGGAAGTGTTTGTGAAATGCCAAACGGAAGTAAGAAGCGACCAGATACGCTTGAATTAGAGGTGCTCGGTAGTCATCATAATGAAATATCCGATGATGAAACTGTTAATAAAGAACCACGTACATCAAATACACTAAACAATAAATCCTCAATCAATACGGATACCAAATTGCAAAATGAAGAGGAAACCGTAACCACGACACGACGACGTTGGTTTCAATTTGGGCGCAAAGCTCATAAACGCTCAACATCAGCTGACAGAAAGCGCAGCCACAACACTGCCCCCACTTTAGCAAAGCCAGAAGCAACAACAATCGCTAACTCCACCAACACAATTACCACACCACTAGCAAACTTGCCAACACATCAAACAATACCGGATGTTGCTGCTGTATTGCCGCGCAGTAATTCCAAAAAACGTCGCAGTAAAACACAAAGTGAAAGCCTCTATAGTTTAGCTACACTAGCACAAACTGGCGAAATCCAAATACTACAACCGCATTCTGCACCGAACGTGCACAATAAGCACGATGATTCATCCGTGGTATGGACGCCACCACAGCAAATCCGTCCGAATTCAGCAGACAATATTATATCAGTTGCGAAAGCAAAGGATGCTGAGAGCACTTTATGTAATCTAGAAGCACAAGAACAAAAATTTCTAAACCCTTATGGATTTCGTGATACACGTGAACAAGTTTTATTAACAACGGAAGTTGAAGCAGAAGATGAAATTGATGATCCACAGTTTTCACGTAAAAATGTGGCAACTGGATTTTTTGCTAATATTATGTCAATCTTCAGTAAATTGGCAATTTGGAAGCATAGTAATTGTTGTAGACGTCGTTCAATAGCCAAAACCAATGGTAATGGAAGTGAAAGTATTGCTACACGGAAAAGTTTGAATGCCAGTTCGGACTTTGAACAGTTCTCAGCTACTCCTGGCGGCAGTAGCGTCTTTTCAACTGCCAAAGAAAAAGGGATAAAACGGCTGTCGCAAATACGGCGTCGACGCAGTTCTTATTACTTTTCTGGTAAATATATATTTTTATATTTGAAAGTAATTTTTATTATTGAAGTTAACATACAAGTGAAGTAAACACTCGAGCTACTATAAAATACATAAAACAAATCATTTTAATGTCATTGATAAATATGTTTTATGGCAGACTTTATTTTATTTTTCTCATATATATTTTTTATATTTTTCTTAACACTGCTTAACACATTATAAGTAACAAAACTTAATTTTAAAAATTAAATAATTTTAAACTGTATTCACACAAGAGTTTTCTTTGTAATTTTAGCTGTCAAAAATATTTGTTTTGCATTCAAAGCAACAACTATTGACAGTTAAAATTACAAACATGGCAGCTAAAATTACAAACAAATCTCTCGTGTGAATCCAGTGTTACTCGTGCTGAAATTCAATAACAGTTCATTAATAACTGCTTAGTACTTCTTAGCCAACCTCGGACGCTAGCATCCTTTGAGTTTTGCTGCCAAATTCTTATATTATGGTTGCCACAATTTATTTTTGGCATCAATCATATAAACAAGTTATTAATGCCATTAAGAATATATGATTTACTGTTATTGATGTTGTAATAGATGTATGTATATATATGCATTAATGCATGTAAGTAAATACCACAGCTAAAAATAAAAAATATTATTTTTTAAATCGATTTTACGAATAAAATAATTGAAAAATGCAAAATTTTATTAAGATCGAATCAATTTAGCAGAATTTTATTGTTACGAATACAAAAAACAACCTTATCTCACTTTTTAAAATATCCTTTAAAAGCAAAGATGAAGCTTAAAATAGGTTAAATACGATTTTTCGCTACTACGTTCCTATGGCCAGACTCTCGCCTTTATAAATGCTTCTTGACCATTCTTGACCAAGCTTGACCATTCTTGTATTAATTATTACAAGATTCTTCTGCCGATTATTACGAGGATTTGTGGATTGAAAACAGCTTTCTTACCTAATTGATTAGGACTCGTTCCTATTCTCACATGATTAAACTGAACCCTTGAGTACTTTAATTATTATTAGGCTTATATAAGGTAGTACGAGTATCAACTTTATAATCACTGATTGAACTGAAGTGAAAGAAAAGTCATCTGCGCTTAGAAAATCAAAAATCTTGGTATCACAATTCATACCCAATATTCTGATATTTGGTAGTTTCCAAATATCATTCAGCGAGCTAGAGCATAAGCGCATTAAAGAGGTGTCTGGAGAGCATATGTGAATAGACTAAGTTCTTGAATAAGCAAGTTCTTGCTTATGCCTAAATATTTCAGTTAATTTTACAAATGGAATATCACGGATTTTTTTATACTGATGTTTAAGAGTTTACAATGATTTTCTTTATATTGATACATATCTATTTTTGCCGCTACTTTAATTCAACTCCTTATTCTTTTTATAAAAAAATGTTCCAGTTTCTCAAATACGCACAGAGATACACTTGAGTACTTTCGACTATCCTTAAAATTTTGAAATCAACATTGCTTTGAAAATATCTTTTCAGCTTACTAATTTATTTCTTTAATATACTAATAATAATTTATTGGTGTACTTTTCAATGATAGTTTAATACTTTTGGTCTTCATCGATCTAATAAAACAATTTAATTATTCTTGTATTCATAATTTCATTATAGGTAGTTTTCTCTTTTATTACTTACTTCGCCAAAGTAAATTTTTTAAATACAAAATCGAAGAATAGGCATAGTTTCTAATGTAAATGATTGAAAAATGTTGTTAAAGAATCAATTTTTCTTAATTAACTTGAAATTATTACAAAGGTCATTTTTTTGTGCATATTCCGTACTTTTTTCTCGAATCACCCGAAATTGTACGACTCAGCTATGATCCTGTTGAAATATAATGGGTCGCATACTCTCTATGTATTGGTAACTCTACATGATATGATTAAGATGAATAGTCATATTACGTGTGTATTGAATCCTTCCATGAGCTTCTGTCAAATATCCTGTAAATCAATCAGCTTACCTTTCATATTTGAAATGCAATATTAAAATTTGTATATCTTTTTGTTTCTTTCAGATAATGAACGCAGAATACGTGCCAATGATAGAGAATTTAATGCCCAATTTAAATATGCTGTAAGTACTTGTAAAAATATTTTATTTAGATTAAAAAGTATATTTATAATATAATTTTATATATTCTTAAATTGACATAATAACATGCTACGTTTTATTTGTTACATGTATACAGTTTTACACAAAACTTTCAAATATAGATTAGAAAAAATAGTGGTACAGTTCAAGATCTATTGTTTATATGTCCTTTAGACACGATGCATAACACTATGCTTGTCTGGCCCTGGGCTCGAATCTCACTATAATTTAGTATCAAAAAAAAAATATTTAAAAACTACCTGTTGGTTCTCACTCAGGAATAGACTTTGAAGAGCTCTATAATTCGCAAAACTTACACTACCATTTAATTCTGTGTGGTATCACTAGAGTCTAATTGGTCTATAAGCCAATAGATCGTGGTTTACGGCAACGAAACTAACCTAACCTAACTCATAAGTTCTTTATTAGTTTTCAATATGGATTCAATAGAGCTTTCGAATATTTACCAAAATATATAGTAAAAGACTCTTTTACCATGAAACTAGATTATGGTTAGTTTTTTACCAAGAGTACATCACTCCTAACCAAAAAAAAATGCCTAAACTCGTTGGCAAATTATAAACGTGTTAAGCGATATCTTAACTTACGTTAAGATCTTAACAAGATATATTTACTTTAGTTGACAAAATGTCATTTCTGTCATAAAATAAAATTTTCTGTTGGAATTGAAGACCATACCACAGTAAGCCTACGAAAAATATAAGAAACCCGATGGCGCCTATGGTTGATTTTTTGTTTTATTTAATATTTCCCAATACTTTGTACACAGAATGAAGACTGCCAGTAACATGGATTAAATCTAATCGATTGATACGTAGACATACGTTATTAAATTTAGAATATGCTTATCTCAATGATAGCGACTATATTTTATCGGCGAAAAATTTTAAGTACAGGGAATCTATTATTTTATTCTTATTTAGATATCTTTTCACTATCTAATCTCAGAGTAATCACTGACCACACGAGGCGGTACGCAGATCTTAGATCAGTCATTGAATAATCACGAAGCTTATGAGGAATACACAAATTAGTCAGTGAGATGGGTGGGACTCTGTACAAACCTCCCAACTATCAAAGAGTAAAGGTGCCCAAGGTTTATGCAAAAAAAAATATTAATTATTAACTAAAATTATATTGTACTTTGTTAATATTATATGTTCAAATAAATTTTATATATAAATATATGTATATAATTTTAATTTCATTAACCAATTTTCAGGACAACTTCATTCATACATCGAAATACTCGCTGCTGACGTTTTTGCCACTTAATCTTTTGGAACAATTTCAACGTCTTGCCAATTTTTATTTTCTTTGCCTTCTAGTACTGCAACTGATACCAGCGATATCCTCACTGACGCCAGTAACTACGGCCATACCATTAATTGGCGTACTAACGCTGACAGCTGTTAAGGATGCCTACGACGACATTGTAAGTATCTAAAAACATTTCAATTTTCCCTATTCGTTGCCTGGCCCGCCTTCCGTTTCAAATTTCCTCTGCTAATTTTAAACGTTTCCGAACTTAACTTGGTACTCATCTACCACCTTCACGTCATGTTGTTATTCCGTCATGCTTACATGTGGTCTTTTCGTTAATCATGAACACAGGCTATGACATACAAGTCTCTATGCCTCTATGCATGCGAGCTAGGAATGTGGTGCATTTGCTCGTTGTCAAGGCACTTATTTCGGGGCTCGTGACTTTTTCTGCTTTGCGCGCTTTTGACATTGACTTCTTCTGTTAATGGCAATGTGGAAAGGATTAGAATAGGCAAACATTAATGAGAATTTTTAAAATGATTTCATAATAAGTTTGGACAATAATTTGGAAAAATTTATTAAAATTTAATTATTATTTTTTTTTCTATTTTAAAAAGATTTATTTAAGAAAATATTTATTATTATCGATCCGTTTTTGTTTATAATAAAATAAAAATGTATGTCCTACTAATATCGAGGATATAGTCAGAATACTGGGCAGGGGCGCAAGGAATAGAACTCCCCCATATAAACAGAAAAGCAAAAAAAAAAAGAAATTTTTCCCTGAAATAATCAATAACGTTCAGCTAAATTTCTCTTTTTCTATTATTTACGAATATAATATTACTAAAAAAATGTCATACCCAAAACTTTCTAGTTCATATTCATGCTTCTACCGCTCTCCTCGGTCCATCACATTTAATGAATAGTCATTATCTCATGGATCCTATTTTCAATATACCATAAAATATGACATAGGACACATATATGCCGTCTCCCTTTACTATGTCTATAATTAATGCTTTTATCAATATATTCTAACACTTGCAGTCTAAACACTATATACGAACTATTCAACTAATAGGTGTTTTTATATCTACTAAGAATGTACATATCGCAAATAGCTCTATGGACAGCCCAAAATATTCAATTGGTTAAATTTTAAGAAATTTTTACATTTTAAAATTTGGATAAAATGAATTATTATTATTTATTTATTGCATTTTATTCTCAATGTTTAATTTTATTAAAGGAATGTTGAATTCAGCTGACTTATCCGAATGGCTCGTTTTAAATCAGCATACGTCCCGCTAATTCTGCCAAAAACTCCATCCATGAAACTACGTCCATAAATTTTAAATTCAACATGAAAGAATCTGGTTTTAATTTCTCTCTTGTATAGTGCGTGGAGATTATATCATTACTATAATGGCTATACTTGATACCACCTTTCATGCTCCGAACTTAGCATATACTCCATAAAAATTATCAACCGTAGGGTTCCCTTCAAAAGCAACACTCAGGCTATTCCTCACTGCACTGTACGTTCTAGTAATAATAAAATAAATTGCTCCATGTTCAATATAAAAAAAAATTGTATCTTTTATCAAGAAATAAACTTTTATTGAAAAAATTATAAAGTTCCTTTTATATAATTTGATACCTTCATATAATTTATGAATACACTCTAACAGTAAATAAATATGTAGCATGCTACATTTTAGTTTAGAAAAATATCGCATGTTACTTGTATACACATATGTGCAATTCTTTCTTAAAAAAATAATATAAATTTATAATTGTTGAAAATATTTAAGAGATTCCAACTTTTTTGAGGAATATTTATTTGTTATTTATGTCATCAGTTTTTGGGTTGTAAGCGTCTATGTTCTTATTATTATCCAAAATAAATTTTTAGTAGAGTTTTGCTATTTTAAAGTTCTCATTAGGTTTTTTAGTTTCTAGTTTAAAATAATTATCCTTGACTTATAGTTAAAATCTTTTCACTGTAATTGAAAACTTTTAACCTTGACTATAGCAAATAAAATGAAAGTGAAAACTATAAATATTAATATAAAATTACGTTATTTATAGCAAAGACATCTGTCGGATTCACAGGTGAATAATAGAAAATCCAAACTACTTAAACATGGAAAATTGGTGGATGCAAAATGGTCAGGAGTGCAGGTAAGAGTATAGCTACCACGGCAATGGTATATACATAAATAAATCTCTATCTATTATTAATTTATTAATTAATTATATTAATTTATTTTCAAAATTTATTTCATTTACTGACTTTTTAATTTTATTAAATTTGAATTATATGTATTCATTTAAAATATTTAAATTAAATTTTATATATATAATAATTTTTAAAGGTTGGTGATGTCATACGTTTGGAAAATAATCAATTTGTCGCTGCGGACATACTCCTGTTAACAACATCTGAACCAAATGGCTTGTGTTTCATTGAGACAGCTGAGTTGGATGGCGAAACGAATCTTAAGTGTAAGCAATGTTTAACAGAAACCGTAAGAATGGGACAAGATGTTGAGCAACTATGGACGTTCAATGGAGAAATCATATGTGAGAGGCCAAATAATTTATTGAATAAATTCGATGGCACATTAATATGGAGAAGCCAAAGATACGCATTAGATAATGAAAAAATCCTTTTAAGAGGCTGTGTACTGCGTAACACGCAATGGTGCTATGGTGTTGTGGTCTTTGCCGGCAAAGACACCAAATTAATGCAAAATTCTGGTAAAACACAATTTAAAAGCACTGGCGTTGATAGACTATTAAATTTTATTATAATTGGTGTAAGTAAATTGATAAAATAAATTTTACACACTATCACTAAATAGGTCAATTATGTATAATACTTGCAGATTGTACTTTTTCTACTTTCTATATGTGCATTTTTTACCGTAGCTTGTGCTATTTGGGAAGGTATGATGGGCCAAAATTTTCAGGTAATTTAAAACTTATAAAATTTATTATTGTAAATAAATAAATTTTATTATTTTTAGGTGTATCTGCCTTGGGAAAATATAATTCCTAAAGATATAGCACAAGGCGCCACCGTTATTGGTTTGTTAGTATTTTTTTCTTATGCAATTGTTTTAAACACTGTTGTGCCAATATCTCTCTACGTTTCAGTAGAGGTAAGCTTACTAATTTAATAATAAAAATTAAAATTATTATCATAAAAATATTTTAGGTGATACGTTTCGTCCAATCATTTCTTATAAATTGGGACGAAGATATGTACTATGAACGTACGAAAACACATGCCAAAGCTCGTACCACCACACTTAACGAGGAACTGGGACAAATACAATATATCTTTTCGGATAAAACCGGAACATTAACACAAAATATAATGACGTTCAATAAATGCAGTATTAACGGACGCACCTATGGTGATGTCATCGATATGCGTACCGGAGAAGTTATCGAAATAACAGATGTAAGTTCAAAATTAATAAATGCTAATAATTTACTTTTTTTTGTTTATTGAAGAATTTAATTTAAGAAACAACGCCTTATTAATCGGTACTACGCTGTTAAAGTTTTCTAATATTCTTAATAATTTTTGTATATTAATATATTTAAAATTTTTGGTTATACTGATTAATGATAATGATTAAGAAATTGGTTTATAGCTGTCGGTTATAATAGTTTACAAATATTTAATTTGGTTATTGTGTTTTTTTTTTCAATTACTTAAAGTTGTTGAAGGTACAAACCAAGTAGAGTATATAAAACTCTTTTTACTAAATTTTGTATAATATAAATGAAGTTGATTAAAAAAAATCTCAAGTTACTTATAATTTCAAAAAGATTTCTTAATGTTTTGGGTAACACAAAAATAAAATATTATTAAGCACGAGTAACCTTATCTGGCGCAGGGGTTACCGTAATCAAGATGTAATTTCACAATAACAATAACTATATTAACTAAAACTGATCTTATACTTTTTAGCATCATAATGCATAGTCCTTAATCAACACATACATATAATATTGTAATCGTTCGGTTAAGAGAGCAAACAGTTCTCTTAATTGCTGGAATAGTACCGCCAGTCCCTTCGATATTCTATTGAGAAAGTTTCTATTGTACATTAACATTGTTTACTCGAAACTGAACAATATAAAAAATTTTAATATTTCTTCTTACAACAGAATCAATCATAGTTAAAAACATTTGTACAAACTTATTAACAACTAATAAGTCCAAAAATTCAATATGTTTTCTAGTCAGACTTATTCTTTTTAAAAAATTTCTTTTCATATAATGGTTCACTTATTGCTTTGGTAACAATTTATCATAGTCTCTTAAATGATTAGAGACTTCATAACTAATCTGTTAGTGCGAGAGAATAGTGTTGTTGTTTTGCGCACAATTAGAGACTTTAACAGGAGACTTGCTGTTATTTTCCACACTTCGTAGCAGCATAATGCAACTATTGATGTTTCTGCATAGTATAGGTTATAGTTCTAAATACTTGCGCATCATTTTCTATGATAGTATTACATATATGCAGATATTATATGCAATAATTTGTACATAATTTATTTTAAATGAGTATTTACTTTCTTTTTTGTGTGTTTTTGCATAGAGAACACATTTGCACAAAAAGTGTTCATCAGAATTGTTCATGTATTTAATTTTTTTACATAAATATTAAGTGTAAAATTTTGACTTCAATGTTTTTATTGCACTTCTACAGTCGTTATTTAAATGACATAAATTACCGCTAACACAAACAGTATCACATACTGAATAATTAATTCCCCACACTGAATACTCACCAATTTTCTCTTCTTATAACACAAAGCGAAAATTTCTCTTAGATGCTTGATTTTATTTACGATATATTTTAATTTTAAGTATAAAAAAAAACTTCAATTCCTTGTTGTAGAAGCAAAATAATCAAGAAACATGCAACAAAAGCACATCGACAACATTTTTAATACATAAAGTCGACGTACATCCGAAAACAGACTCCATATTAGTCGCGGAAGATGACGGAGTAAATACAACGACGAAAACATCAACAACAACACCAATAACCTCAACACCATCTCCAAATTTACCAATATCCGCACCATCAGATGTTGTCAATACTGCAAATAGAACTTTTGACGATTCATCGCCATCCATATTAGTCACAGAAGATAACGGAGTAAATACAATGACGAAAACATCAACATCAACACCAATAACCTCAACATCATCTCCAAATTTACCAATATCCGCACCATCAGATGCTGTCAATACTGCAAATAGAACTTTTGAAGATTCATCGCCATCATCATTAAATTCTAGTAATGCGGACATACCAACCAGTACGAAACGTAAAAAATGTTATTTTAATCGTGAAGAGTCTTTTCAATCGATTTCATCTGGGAACATCCCTGTGGACACTACACAAAAATCAACACGACGTCGTACAGGCAGCGAAAGTGAGAAAGTAATAGTTAACGATTTGCCAGAAAAAACACCATATAACTCAGTTAACCACAACAACAACAGCAACAATAACAGCAATAAAAATACATATAATGCCAACAAAAAAATGACAGCAAACGTCACTAGTAACATTGATGTAACTGATGAGAATGCAATAATAACACCAAAAACAACATTTACATCAGCACCTCTTGCACCCATTTCTGCAATTCCATTATATTCACCACCTTCATATCTGCAATCACCATTAAATTCACCACATTGTGCAATGCCCATACTAAATTGCTCATGTAAACAAATTGAAAAGCACCACTCCATTGCAACAAAAACAAATTACAAAGAAAGCACCAGTAGCAAAACAAACGCCAATAATAACAACAGCAGCGCCATCTACAGGGACACATCCTGTTGTACGCAAATTTATTTGTGCCAAAATGATCACACAAATACAAAAAGCTATAACAATATATATACCTGCACCAAAGTTAATTCTAAACACGATATCAGCACAACAACACCAAAAAACAACAACAACCGCACTAAAACCACCGATTTTATAGTTAACACAGACACTTATGCTAATAATTGGACTTATGCCACCACACATCAGAAAGTGCACGTATGCATGAGTTTTTATTTTTAGACTTTTATCTATGTATATATTATAGTATATATCTCTTTTAGTTTAATATCTCTATTATATTTCTACCCATACTCCACTATATAATTTTGACTACGAACTATTATGTACTCCCTATATTATGCTATAACTCTTTTATTTAGTATATATGTTAACATATCTCTAACTTTTGTTATAATATAAAGTACTTTACTACGTCTCCTTGTAACAATAATGTTAAGCACACCTTAAACGATTTATCTACTATTTATAAATAAAAATTTCCCTATAGATCCTCTTAAAATATTCATTTAAACTTGGCTAATTTCAGAAGTAACCCAGCCTATGTAACCCAGGTTGATCCATATAATCAAGTATGCTCGCCCCTGACAGCAGGGACAATACCGGCAGGTTTCTTTAGGTTACTACAACAACTCTTTGGTTAGTTTTCGTGGAAACACAGCATTCCTTTCTACACAAATAGATCGTTAACCTCATTTTATTCACACATAATTGGAGATAAGATTTTAGTAATAAGCTTTATTTCTAATTATAACTAACTTGAATAGTTAACATATAGTTAATAAATGAAACTGCTTTTGTAAGACTTCTATTTAGAATACCCATCAGTCTCATTAGCTCGTAAAATTTAAAAGCCTGAACTTTACCACAACTGTTTTTCTATTTTTTTCCTAAGTGTTCAAATTTGATATCTATTGTTCAATAATTTGCCAGCACCTCTACGAGTTTTATGACTCCAAACATCAGTTTTTCGTTGCCTTAACAGAACTTTATCAAAAATGTGAAATAGTTCTTCTCTAATATATGTATAATAATAAACTAAAAAGAAAATTGTTATTAAGTTCAGGGATTTCGCCCCCATTCATCGATTTAAAGTAGTTTTCGGAGTCCAATTTACTCAATAAAACCTACTTTATCGAATCTCATTTTTTCATTCGATATAAGATATCACCTAACCAGTAACGTTAACAGACACTCATTTGAGGGGAATTTTTTTAAATAATTTAATATTCTTATAAGATCTAGAAAGGCTGAAATGTTTGAGAAAGTGGTTGAACCCCTAAATATCCTCCCTTTCTCATTCAATACATCACTACGCTTAGTTAATTCTTTTGTTAATACATATTACATATATGCCATACAAGGTCCCAGCACGTATTTTACGGTTCGTCGCTGCAAAATCTCAAAGTTTCATTAGAATAAATGGATAGTTTTATATAGTAATAAATGAACATGGCAGGATAATGCTATCAGAACTCCTTTAATGATTTTGAACTTATAATGATTCTGATCTTAAATGAAATTGAGTTGAAAGTTCCTATAAGCAGTTTTGTTTATGATAGTCCTTATATATTATGACATTACAGCCTTCTCTGTTTCTTCTCTTAGTTCTAACAAAATAAGAAAATTTTATAAAATTTATTTTATGTATAACTATTTATGGAAATATCTAATTAAGTGCGCAATTTTAGCACCATTTAGAACATTACTACTCTTCTCAGAGTAGTAATTTATTTAATACCAAATATAGTTTATATTAAGAAAATAGTTACATTTAATTTTGACATAGATCGTTTAAATCTATAATTCATTAAATATAACAATAAATGTTTTCTGTAAAATATTTATAGCTTTTTATTTCTATTAATTCTTTTATTTAATTAATAATATAATTAGACTAAATTTTAATTTTATTATTTTTAATACGTAATTATATATCCTATATAATTTTTAATTTCCATTCATTTTATATAACTTTATTCAGAGCCGAAGGTATAAAAACCGTACTCTATTAGCTAAATTAAATCTTAAGCTGTAATATATATATGTATAACATATCTACCTATGTTTGAGTAATAATATGTACAATCAAAAACATATAACTTTAATTATCTCACCCTATTACAATTTACACTTATAGATAATAGATAAATAGATAAAATATTATTTGCATGCGCGCGCTTCTATTGTAAAACTATCGCTTTAATTAATATTCTTAAACATTGAACTCATCTTAATAATGGAATGGACTATATATACTAGTACTCTACTTACTTGCTTTTAAAACAAAAATGCTGAACTCAAAAACTTTATAAATCTATAACTTAATTTAATTTTTACTTTCACTCTTCTTAAAGGCTATTAAAAGTGTCGATTTCTCCGAAAATCCCGAATATGAGCCAGATTTTCGATGGTATGATAAAACTCTACTGGATGCAGTGCGCTCTGATGAAGAGCATGCACATAACTTTTTTCGTTTGCTGGCGCTATGTCACACAGTAATGGCTGAATATGTAGATGGCAGACTTGAATATCAAGCCCAAAGCCCCGACGAGGCAGCCTTAGTATCAGCGGCACGGAATTTTGGTTTTGTGTTTCGATCTCGGACGCCAAACAGTATAACCATTGAAGTTATGGGTAGAAGTGAGGTAAAATCCAATGGAATACATAAATTTATAACATAGTATTTTATTAATTATTTCACTTTATATCTATTAGGAGTACGAACTATTAAATATTTTAGATTTTAATAATGTACGCAAGCGCATGTCAGTGATATTACGTCGTGGTAATAATATAATTCTATACACTAAGGGTGCTGATAATGTGATTTATGATAGGTTAAGTACTAGTCAAGAAGATATTAAGGCACGGACTTTGGAGCATTTAAATGTAAGTTATTAACTGTTATTTTAAATTTATTATTTTATAATTTCAATTTTACGAGTGTACATGATTTTTTTTTCCAGAAATTTGCTGGCGAAGGCTTGCGTACATTAGCGTTGGCCGAGCGTAGACTTGACGCAACTTATTATAACAACTGGAATCAACGTTTTTTAGATGCTTCAATATCTTTAGATCACCGTGAAGAAAAACTTAATGTCATGTATGAAGAAATTGAAAGCGAATTGATGCTTGTAGGTGTAACAGCTATTGAAGATAAACTGCAGGATGGTGTACCACATACGATAGCTAATTTACAAGTAGCAGGCATAAAAATTTGGGTGCTTACTGGTGATAAACAAGGTAATTAAAGAAATTTTCACAAATTTATTATTATTTTTTAAATTTACTACCATATGGATAGTGAACAAAGTTCACCTACATAATTAAGTGACAAAGGGTCTCACCTTGATCTATAGTAGTTTTATTCAAGACCCAACCACGCGCACATCCCTGGCGTATCCCGTACAATCTTCCAACTGTAATCTCACTCAATCACATCATAACTGTAATTACGACTGTAATTCCAATTATAGTCATATATTTGTACTGTGATTCCTTTCATGTTTACTGCTGTATGCATCTTTACGTGTTACTATAATGATAACGATTGGTTATCTGTGTAGACGAGTGTTTCTGAATCGCATACCCTGCAATTTTTAGCACTCACACCAATTTAAGCTTTATTGACTTATGACTCCGCTCCAAGCGGGTGGCTGGATTCTTGCACTTAGACCTAAATCAGGTTGTATCATTAGCTCACACCATGCTTCCCTGTTCCACTTAACTCACCTCCACAATCTCGTTCAATTTCTTTTATGTTTTATGAAATAACACTACAATTTAATTTATTTACAGAGACTGCTATAAATATTGGTTATTCATGTCAATTGCTCACAGATGAGCTAGCGGATATTTTTATAGTTGATGGTAGCTCACTGGAAGAAGTTGAGAAGCAGTTACGTCAATTTAAGGAATCAATAAGAATCGTCAATAGATTTAGACCCACACGTTAGTTTATTGTTAATATTATATACCATAAATATAATAATCATATTAAATATTATTATTTATAAATTTTAGCGCTTGAGCCAGCTGTAAACTTGAATTTAAATGGTGCTCATACAGCAAGAAGGAGTCCCTCATCACCTTTGTCGCCATTTAGAGCGCAAATATCACCACCGCCAGCACCAGCGATATCGGTTGTTACATTTAGGTGGGATGAAGAGAATATTAAAGAAAATAGGGGCGAACCGGACAGGTAGAGGGACTCTAAATTATATATCCACATACACTCTTAAGAGTTATTACTTTTTTTCTAATTTTTTTCCCCGACTTTTTATTTAACTTTTCAATTCGATTATTTTCTTTTTTAATTAAATAATTTATCTATACAATTATTTGACTACTGTAGTTTTGGGTGCTAATACTGTTATAATTAAATATTCTTTTAACTTGACATATAATTTCATTCGATCTATAGCAATATTGATATGTTGATATGGCACAATCTATACATTTCGAGTTGCAAAAATATACAATAAATAAAAAATAAATATATTAGAACTTGAAGTAGTAAAAAATGTTATTAAAATATTATTAAACAATTGTCAAGTTTTACACTATTATTATTATCCTTTAAAAATAATTTAATATATGCTAGAATATATCGATATGTTAAAGTAAATAATATAGCGCTTTTATTGTAATAAAACTATTGCTACCACATAAGCCTCACACATAGAAGTACTCGTAATTAGGCAAATCGTAATAGCACCAATCTAAAAATAAAAAACAATACTTAAAATAATTTTATTTTATTGTAGTTTATAGACTTTAGGATATTGCCGAAAACTACAAAAACCGAGAACAGATTTATTATACAATGAATCATGTGCTTAGACTAGTATCCAACATCTATATTTTTTTGTAAATTATATTTTTGTTTCTTTATATTTTATTTATTTATAAAATTATTTTAAAATTTTTTCCAAATGGTTTTTTTTTTTTAATACTTAAACTTGATCACTGCATGATCAATAAATACTTCTTTCCGTTTACTTTAAACACTACTATGAAATGTGACTAATTTTTAAAAAATACTTGTTTTTAGTTTACTATATACATATATAGATTATATCATTTTGTGGGACAACCAACATTTTAAGCAATTTAATTATTTTTTTACAAGGATGAGATCCCCTCTATTGGTACTTGTTTCGCCCGGAAAAAATTGAGTCCGTATTTAAGTACATAAATATTATGATTTTTTTCTGCAAATTCAAATAAAAATAACATCAAATCATTAGTAAAAATCGTTTAACATAATAATGCATTGTCAACGCCATTTTTGTTAAATTTTTAATTTTTTTATATTTGAATTTGTAAAAATATTTTATTAATTTTTTTATATGTAAATTAATAGTACATACGTATAGAAGAAACTTTTTTGCACTCTATTTTCTAATTTGTAGATCTTAAAATATACAATCAATTTTTTCTTCCTTAAGCTTTTGTTATCATAAATAATGCTCATTTGTATTTAAACAATAAGTACAAAATGTTTAAACATATTTACATATGTACGTATATATAATCGTATGCCTTGCATTTACATTATAACATTTGTTAATGTCTTAGCATGAAACTGCATCATAAATTCAAATAAATTTTGAAACTCTTACTTAAATTGTGTTTCTTGAACATCATTTACTTTAGTGCGGAAGTGAGTGAACTCTACGATGGTCTCGAAAAAGGTAGCAGCGCTTCGGCACATCATTTGAAAGACGATTTGGCTGACGATAGCAGTGGGTTTGCGATTGTTATAAATGGACATTCATTAGTGTATTGCCTACTACCGGAATTAGAAGAGAAGTAACGAAGTGATTAACTATTATTATTATGACATAAATTGAATTTCTTTATTAGATTCTTAGAGGTTGCTTTACAATGTAAAGCTGTTATTTGTTGTCGTGTAACACCGCTGCAAAAAGCTTTAGTTGTGGAATTAATTAAACGTTCTAGAAATGCTGTGACTTTGGCAATAGGTGATGGTGCAAATGATGTGTCCATGATAAAAGGTAAGTTTATATTTTAGGATTTCCATATACAATATATATATGTAGAAGGACGTTGGATGTTATTTTTGCTATTATAACCGGAGCCCCTGACGTTCCTGTATAGAATAGAAAACATAAATGGATTAAAAAGCATATACATTGGTCAAAATAGGAAGTTCAAGAATATAAGAGAACTGAAGAGTGGTTGTAGGAAATGAAGGAGGGATAATAATGCGAGTAACAACCAATTAAAACTCGCGTTGGTCAAGATAAAAGAAGCTAGCCAGTTTAATAGAATGGAACCATAAAATAATGGGGTTAAAATTTTTAACTGTACAAACATCAGACAAAAAAATAAATTGAGAAGTGTCGAGTTACTGCACACTCTAAGACTTTGACGTTTTTTATATGTACATCCCGAAAAAACTTATTTATCCAGACTGCCAAGTGTCACTTAAATCTACGTTGTTGTATGTCACTAATTATTCATGACGACCCAGCAGTAATCACCACTTCCAAGATTCCAAAAACGGCCAGGTCTATGTCCCAGAGCCACTCGTCAAGTTCGACGACCAAGTGCCATTCCCCACACTCAAAAGGACTACATAAGCAGATCTCTGCGGTTTGCAACAGCAACAACCACTCCCAATCGGATTACAACGGAAACCAAGTGCCGCTCACTACTCCCAGAAGAACCAATACCAACTGTTCTAGGATGACATTATATATAATATAAAATTTCTTAAATAATTGTTATCGTTAAACAAATTTATTCTTTTAATGTCAAATATTCCAACTAATTAAAATGCTCTTACTCGCTTTTTAGCTGCTCACATTGGTGTCGGCATCTCAGGGCAAGAGGGTATGCAAGCAGTTCTCGCTAGTGATTATTCGATAGCACAATTTCGTTACTTAGAACGACTTTTATTGGTGCACGGTCGTTGGTCATATTATCGAATGTGCAAATTTCTAAGATACTTTTTCTACAAAAATTTTGCATTTACACTTTGTCATTGTTGGTACTCTTTCTTCTGTGGATTCAGCGCCCAGGTAAGTTATATATAAATAACCAATAAATAAAATTTGTTAATAATTGAATATATTTAAACAGACTGTTTTCGATCCGATGTTCATATCAGTATACAATTTATTTTATACTTCACTCCCTGTATTGGCTTTGGGCATCTTTGAGCAGGATGTGTCGGACAAACATAGTGTTGATTTTCCAAAACTTTATACCCCCGGTTTAAGAAGTCAACTATTTAATATAAGAGAGTTTGTATACAGCGTTCTACATGGCGCATTTAGCTCTCTTATATTGTTTTTAATACCTTATGGCACCTACAAAGATGGCGTATCACCCGATGGTACTATATTAAGTGATCACATGACACTCGGTGCAGTGGTCGCCACCATTCTAATTATAGATAATACAGCACAGGTAAACTAAACTGAATATTTAAAAACAAAAATAAATTTTATTTTTATAAATTTTATATTTTTATTACTGCATAGATCGCCATTTATACATCATACTGGACAATATTCAACCACATTACTATTTGGGGGAGTTTAATTTGGTATTTTGTTTTGGACTCCTTTTACAATTATGTAATAGGTGGTCCTTACGTCGGTTCATTAGCTATGGCTGTAAAAGATCTCACATTTTGGGCGACTATGATTATAACAGTTGTTGTAATTATGGCACCAGTTTTGGCATATAAATTTTATCTACTGGATGTATTTCCGAGCCTATCAGATAAGGTATGTAAACATCGATTTCGAAAATTAATCCATACTTTATACTACGACTTTTTTCAGATACGTTTCAAGCGTAAACAGGCTAGTCTGCGTTCCAGGCAATCCAGCAGTGTCATACGTACACCATCATCTAGGAGAGCAAGACGATCTTTACGATCTGGTTATGCATTTGCACATCAAGTAAATTTCGTTTCATATAGTATATATGTTTTCTATTAACGATTTAATTGATTTGATATACATACAAAATAAATTTTTACTAGTCTGTATAGAATATATGACTATAAATTTTTTTCTTTTAAATTATAGGAAGGATTTGGTCGTCTTATTACGTCTGGTAAAATTATGCGAAAATTACCGCAAGAATTTGCATTCCCACTTGGCTTGGGTAGTAAAAAGTCACAAGGCGCAACTTCCGTATCCAACGAAACAACAAGAGGTAATCAAACGAGTATCAATGGAGAGAGCCATAATTCGAGTATGGCAAGCGTTTTGCATAACAATGCAGGAAGCGGGAGTAATACCAGCGCAAAAATCGCCAATTCGGACAGCATCAGTCCACGAGCGCCGTACCAAGATTTAGACACAATTAACCTCTAGTCTACAAAGAATGTAATACATAAATAAGTAAATACTTACTATAAGCAATTAAAATTGAAGTCATCATTTTTTATTTTATACATATACATATAAGTTTTATGTATTGTTTCTATGTAGTAAAAAAGTTTATAATTTAAATCGTTATTTTTGTATTGTAATTTTTGATTGTGAAAAAATCAAATACAAAATACAAAAAGTAAACAAATTAGCTTTAAAGAAATAATGAAAACAATTATTTATATATAATATAACCTATACAATTTAAAACCAAAATATTAAAGATATCATTTTTATATTAAAAAATGGGCGGGGCTGTTATTCGATATACGTGTAAGATTCTAAATAAGCTGATTTAGTGACAATTTCATAAAAATTTTTAGTTGTAGTTGTGTTGAAAAAAATTTTTAATTTTAATAATTTTTAATTTTTTAGTTAAATTTTAAAATAATATACTTATAGACTATTAAGTCTATTGATCTATATGTGTATGGCTATTAAGAACATAAGTTGTTAAGTCCATGACTAAGTCACAAATAGAAAACTTTTGTTTCAAATGTAGAATAAATAATCTCAAAACTACGAAAAGTGCTAACTTCACAAAATGTATTTTTATTTTAAAAATTAAAAAATATATAAAAAATAATTTTTTTTAATTTTTAAATGCGCACTAAATATATTAATTTTGTGTTAGGAATATGCACTACATAAGTATTTATTTTATATTTTTGTTCATATGCAAACTAAATTTGTTTATTTTGTGTTATGAATATGCACTATATAAAATAGAAATTATTTTGTTTTAAGAAATACATGTGATTTATTTTTTAAGTTTTTAAGAGTTCAAATTTTATTCTTACTTTCATTAATTCAAAATATTTATCAAAGACTAATTAATTTTTTTTTAAATGTAGCTTCTTTTCTATATTTTTATAGTATTTCTTAGATTCTTAAAAATGAATCAAATTTAAAATGTTTAAAGTGTTCACATTAAACATTGAATATATTTAAATATTTATAAACTATAATTGATCTTTTTCGTATTAAATATTTTTTATAATTGAACTCTGCACAATTAGTCTTGAATATTGATCCAATTTATATATAGCTTTATATTTTACAAAAAGTTAATGGAAGAATTTAAAATCCAGTCCAAAAATAAAAACGAAGTGTACTTAATTGTATTGGAAATAAAAAATTACTTTTAAGAAGTATATTTATTTAAGGAAATGTTAAAAAAAAATTATTAGACAAAAATTCAAATTCAAAAATATTTACAATAATATGTTAAGTTATAATATAGCGAGTGTGCTGTGGTGTATACTTTGCTTTTTAAAATAATTGGTAATAATAATTCTAAATTTAAAACATTAAAAAAGTTTTGTCATAAATACAATGGGATATCTATTAGATTTTGTAATAAATTATTTTAAATTAAATAAAGAATTGATAAAAAAAGGAATTTAAAATTAAAAAACATGTTTTATTATTCCAAAAAGCACATAATTGTGTTTAGATTGAATATTAAACACAAAGAAGAATTTATAGTGTAATGTGTAATGATTGAATATATCGTTATATGGATCGAATATGTACACATCTCAAAAAGCATTAAACTATGTTTAAAATTACTTGTCATTGAATAAATGTACTTTATTTGAAGTATTAAATGCTTTCCGAAGTATTTAATTCAAACTTGAGATTCATGTAAGTTATGGATAAGCTGATATACTACTGTGACATATAATTCTCATATATGATTTGTATGAACATCTGTACTCATAAACGTAGAGTCCAAATTAACAAGTACAATAACAAGATCAAAGAGATATTTGTTTTTCTTTATGAAAAATATATTTCGCTCTTAATTTTCAATTGTATGTATTATCACAAACTAATTCATAAGCCATTCTCGACCTACCTCACTGACTTCAAACCCTGTTTCTTCCACAGTCTACAATCCAGTAATGAAAACAACTTTTAAAAAAATATACATAACCTACAAATATATATGTAATATTTTTATTAAATTAAGAATTATAAACATAATTTTTTATATTTGACAAGCATAAACAAATAACAAACTTATAAAACTAGAAAATTAATTTCTTTGAAGGTATACTCGCTCCATCCATAGCATCTATCAGTTTACGCTTTAATGAAGGCTTCTCATCAGCTATCTGCTTAGTTGTTGGTAAGGGTAGCTTATCTCCCGGAGTTGGCGCCGGTTTGTTATGAAAATAGCTCATTTTTAATGCTTCTGTGCACGTACACCGATTCAATGGATTTAGAGCAAGTAACTTTTCTGCTAATGCTATTAAATCATCTGCTGCAGCAGTAAAGATGTGTTGAAATGGAATGGACGGACATACTTTAAATTGCATAAAATCCGGTAATTTAGTTATACCTGGCCAGTCTTCTTCAGATGGTGTACCCAAAGCTTGGAAAATCCTTGTTAATTGATCTAAATCCGAATCGCCAGGCAAAAAGGGCACTCTTAATAGTAGTTCAGCTAAAATACAACCAACTGCCCAAATATCTACTCCAGTACCGTATTGACGTGAACCAAACAGTAATTCTGGCGCACGGTACCAACGTGTGACTACTTGATGTGTGTAAATTCGATTTGGCGAACCAAAAAACTTTGCTAAGCCAAAATCACCAATCTTTAGTACACCATCCGCGTTCACTAATAAATTATTTGGTTTCAAATCACGATGCAAAATCCAATTCATGTGTAAATATTCTAAGCCACGTAACGTCATAATCATATATGCTTTTATATTCTGATGTGATAATATGATGTTATTATCTTTAATTATGGTCTCTAAATCTGTATCCATAAAATCAAATACTAGAGAAACATTTGATTTGTGACCAAATACATCAAGAAGCCCAATCACATTTTCGTGAGTTAGTTCATGCAATAACTTAATTTCACGCAGTGCAG